CGGCAGATATTGCTCTCTCTGGGAGCAATGAGTAATTGTCTGCTGCAAACTCATGTAAGCATCAGGAAGAGCATCTGGCCAGTAAATGCTTTGTGAAACATCCTGCCTCCAGAGGTGAGGAAAGCCCCCAATCTCTTGACCTTCTACAAAGGGATCAAAACTTGACTCTGCAGCCTTGCATGGGGTAGGAGACACAGACAACCATGGGGCTGGCTAGTTACTGTAGTTCCTTCAGAGCCCCTCCCCCCATTTGTAATAATCCAACATTAAATGGCCATTTTAGGATTTTTCCCCTTTTGATATTTTATATAGTGTTTTATTTATTGGTCATATTATAATGTACATTACTTAGAGCCTCTCTTTCCGGGAGATGGGCGGTTTAGAAATATGATGATAGATAGATAGATGATAGATAGATAGATAGATAGATAGATAGATAGATAGATAGATAGATAGATAGATAGATAGATAGATGATAGATAGATAGATAGATAGATAGATAGATAGATAGATAGATAGATAGATAGATAGATAGATAGATAGATAGATAGATAGATAGATAAAACAAGTACCTGATCCATCATCTGCATCCATTGATCTCCATGCTCCAACTTTTTATTTGTATTTTGTTTCAATTTGTTTTTTGAGCAAGCAGGCCCTCCTTCTCACAATAACCAGCACCCAAACCTTCTTCCACTCTAACACACACAACAGATATGCCACCCTGCTTTCACATGGGCCAGTGGGGGGGGGGGTCTGATACCCAGAGAGCCAGTCAGGCAAAGACCTCTACCAACCTACCCTTATCTCTCACTTGAGGGCAGCAGGCAAGTCTAACCAAACCTACCCCATACACCTGCCACCAACTTATTAAAAAGTCTACCAGTCCTGATTTTAGCAGTCTGGATGACATCATACAAGATAGTCATTAAACACACCTGCCCTGAGATCTCCAGCACAGTGGCAGTCCTGGTCCACCTTGGCCTACATAGAAAGGAGAGAAGAGCTGCCAAAGTGGGCAGTGTAACACCTGGCCGATTAAGTGGCAGCTGAAGAACCAGCTCTCATTCTTATCACCGCTGGTCACCTGGCCATCTAACTTCTCAGCTTCCCCAGGGGCTCCTGCTGCCACTGCCACTTTACACTGCCATCACATGCCAGGCCAACTGATTTGTCATGAATAGTTAGACGAGAAGTAATTCAGTAATTCAGGGAGCTTTGGGAGGACCAGGAGAGGCCATGGGAAGGCAGGGTATTGCGAGCAAATATGTGCTATGGATTGTGGTGGGCAAGGGCTGCTGGGGAATATGTACTCTGTATTAAGTTGCTCTGCAAAAAAGACAACAGGAACAATTTACTGGGATGACTTGCAACCTTCCTTCCCTACTGGTTTCCCCATTGACTTTGTTTGTGGGAAATCAGCCGAGAATAATGTCCCAAATGGTGATCACGTGACATCGATCACATGACATCATAACTGCAAGCTGGGCAACCAAGCGCCCAGATTGAAATCATGTGACCATGGGGATGTTGCAATGGCTGGAACTTCAAGGACCAATGGTAAGGATTAAACAAATGATATACAGGTTAGTGTTTAGGGGAAAAATTATTCTAAAAAGTCATGAATGCTATGAGAATATTGAGAAATGATAAGGCTGCAGGAATAACTGTAAAAAAAGATATTAATATAGTTTAGTAAAAGTGTGGCTGTTTAACCTCTTTAACTGCATTTGCATGTGTCAGTTGAGATAACACTATTACATTTTTCCCTTATACAAATGATATGAATAACAAATGAATGATAACAAGAATTAATACAGAATTAGAGGAAGATTAAGTATTCTGGGTAATATGCCTATTGGAATTCATGTTGAAATATTTCAAGAGGTGACAATGAAATTTTGGAAGTAGAGTGAAGCTTTATGCTAGGCTGGGCTGCACAGATTGGAGTTTTGCGCTTCAGTGGGATATTCGGGAAAGTACAAACGTGAAAAAGTTTATTGTACATTTGTTGATTTAGAAAATGTACAGGTAGTCCTCGGCTTATGACATTCACTTAGCGACTAATCAAAGTTTCTCTGAGGATCTCTCTGGGGGTACTTACAATCCAGTTCCCCCCACAATCACATGACTGCATGTCGGGTGTTTAGTAACCAGCCCACATTTATTGCCATTTGCAGCTTTCTATGGTCATATGACTTTGTTTTACTATGGTTTTATCAAAAACTGACATTTATTTTCAGTTTTCAGCAATACTGGCTTATAGGAAACAATTGGTTTCCTTAACAATCACAGTGTTTGCTTAACATGGGCACGTAACAATCACTGCAAACAAGGTTTAAAATTGGGTTGTTTACATGGGTGACCTGCATCACCACTGTCATGATTCACAACCATGATGGACAGACTCCATTATAGTCATAAGTCGAGTATTACCTATGATAAAGTGAATGGCTTTACTTAAAAAACAAGTTGCATGAATATGGTCTTGAAGGCTGATTGTTGAATATGCCAAGAGCAGAATATGATCGAAGAAAAGCATCCATGAGAATAAACGGATTGCTTATCTAACGATTCAACATTGATCAGAAAATAAGGGAAAGATATGTTGATGTCACTTTGGTTTGCTATATTGATAAATGTATAAGAAATGCTTGCAGTGATGCTTGAAATGCAGTGATTGGAGATGGTGTTTGCTCCAAACTTAAATGATTTGCAAATGTTAGATTGTGCGATACAACTAGTATTATGGATCTGAAAATTAATATATCAAAAACCAATGTGGTTTCACTTGATAGAAAAGATGTAATGGTATAAGTTTCCTATTAAAGGTTTAGAAAAAGTTCTAGACCAGTGGTTCTCAACCTTTTTAATGCCGCGACCCCAACCGGTCGTAAGTCGAGGACTAAACCGGTCGTAAGTCGAGGACTAAACCGGTCGTACGTCGAGGACTAAACCGGTCGTACGTCGAGGACTACCCAACCGGTCATAAGTCGAGGACTTTCCCTGCCCGGGAGCGCCACGCATGTGTGGTTCCGCCCCCTGCGCCGGCCGAGGCGTAGCTGGCAAGCGGCAGAGACAGAGCAGGCCGACCACCAGCTGGCCCAGCCCAAGGGAGGTAAGGCACCCGCCGGAAAAGGGGGGGAAAATGGACAAAAAAAATGGTGGACAGCCTTGCTTGGCGACCCCCATGAAATGGTCGATCGACCCCAAATGGGGTCCCGACCCACAGGTTGAGAACCACTGTTCTAGACCCTATGATTCTAGTTAGTAGATGAATTCATGTGTTTTGATAGAATGCTTACCTAAGGATGGGGAAACGGAGAAACTTTAATGCAAATGCTGTTAGAAAAGAAGAGAATGTATGTGGTTGCGAGGAATTGAGGCTTATCAAGAGATGCTAAAATGTGTACGCTCCTGCCTGCCCATTTGTTATGGAAGTGAGCATTGGACATATCGAGAGAAACAAAAATAAAGTTGAATGCAATTGTGAATGCCTAAGAAATGTGAGGTAGGACAAGAGATAGGTTCAAGAATGAAAGAGTTCTAAATGAATGTAGGCTGAAAACAAAAGTGAAAGTCTAGTAGAAAAGAAGCAGATAAATACATGAAAAAGGAACAAATGGTTTGAGAGGAAAAAGAGGACCAAGAAATCTGAGACTGGATAGAGTTGATAAAATCCTCAGAAGGAGAGAAGTGGGAATTTTAAAGGACAAAAATCAGTGCTTGAATGTGGTAAAAGCAAACATGGTTTGTAAGCATAGAAAGATATAGTGAAAGTTTAATTAGACTCGTTTTCTTTCTGTTATCTCTTACCTTTAAGTTCTTTTGACTTGTTATCTCTTTTTTCCTCACTTTTCATAATATTGTTTCCTCTGAAAATTAACAGCGTGGCGGATTTGTATACAGTATATGATTATACACAATGGAATTGTTTGGTGCTATTATGTTGTCATAAATACCCACAATACAATGCAATACAATATATATTCCTACAATATGTAAGAATTATCCTCATACCACCTATTTAGTATGAAACAGTTTGAAATCTGTTTGCTATTTTCATTGTAGCCAATCAGGTCCTTTACCGTCTCCAATCTTTATTCTCTACTCTGATTGGAAGCAGGTCACCATAAATACAGCTGGAAAACCTTAACCCTAGCACAACAAGTAAAGATAACAAGGCTAGCATAAAGTGTTCTGCAGATTTTTCCTTCTAAAATTCCTCCCTGTATTTCAGAAAACCTGACAGCATCCTGAGCATTTTTCTTGAGGAACAAAAAACTGCTGCAATTACTTGTTATGGGCCCTACTTCTATTCCCTAGTCTTTCCCCTGGTTAAGTTAAGCATCTTCATGCACAATCTTTTAAGATTATTATAAAGTTGTTTGACAGCTTTGAGAATAATGTTCTTAATATACAACCTTAAGGAAAATATAGGCCTTTTCCCGTGTCATGGTTTCTCATTAGTTCTACAGTTCTTTCCAGTGCTTTTTTTCAACAACAAAAAAAAAGGTGCCGGAACTCACGCACGTCATACAACCCGCCTTGCCTACCCTACAAGGTTCCATCCAAAAAGGTGCCGGAACTCCGTTCTGGGCGTTCTATGCGAAAAAAAGCCCTGGTTCTTTCTACAATCGTTCTACATGTTTAACAGTTCTCTCCCACTGGGTATTATCCAGATAAGTTGGCTGGAGGATTTTCAGCAAATGTAACTTATGGAAGGCTGGTGTGGCCTTACTAAATGAAGTTCACTGATAATTTGATTAAAAGGATAACCAGAGTATATGGAATGAAAAAAAAGCTTGCCCACATTGGATAATGTCTTATCCCATTGTGAAATCACATGAAAGAATGTTCTTACTTCCTTTCATTTGTTGCAAAGTAAATGTGGCCATCCATCTTTGTATTTTGTTTCTGTTTGTTTTTTTGAGCAAGCAGATGAACTAATTTTGTATTTTTATTTTCTCTTGACTTCGCCACATTCTCTCCTTTCCAAGTCCGAGCAACCCAGCCCCGCAAGTTCAAGTTCCAGCTCTAGCTCCAGTTTCACACCGTCTCAGAACAACCGGCAGCAAGGTAACATTTAAAAAAAGGAGGGTGGGGGTCAGGTGCTTGGGCATGCAGCAAAAAGGATAGATGTCATTTTTACTTTAAAAAAAAAAAAGATGGATTGTGGTTCTACTAGGGATAGCTCTAAGAACCTTTGTCCTCTCATTTTATCTGTGCAAAATAGGTTTGTCTAACAATGAATCACATATACAGGTAGTCCTTGATGTAGAATCATATATTTGGTGACCATTCAAAGTTACAACAATACTGAAAAAAGTGACTTACAACCCGTTCTTGCACGTAGGACTGTCGTGGCATCCTCATGGTCATGTGATCAAAATTTGAGGGCTTGGAAACGGGTATGTAGTTACAACAGTTGCAGCATCACCATTTGCAGTTTTCCCAGCCAGCTTCTGATAAGCAAAGTTAGTGGGGGAAAGCTGGATTCACATAACAATTGCGTGATTCACTTATCGACTGCAGTAATTCGCTTAATGAACAAGGTTGTAAAATCAAGCACAACTCACCTAACCGCCTGGCTTAGCAACAGAAATTCTGATCCCAGTTATGATCGATAGTCCAGGACTACCTATAAGAGCTTGATTTCTTGGTAGGGATTTGAATTCTGTTCTTCCCACTCCTCGGCTAATCCTAGCATCACTGTGCTGTGATAAATCCTAGGTCATTAAGTTTTATTTGTTAACATCTGAAATAGCTACATTTTAGTCAGCAATTATACCTTTCTTCAGAAATCAAACAACTGCATTTCTAGTTACTTCAGATAACTAATCAGGCTATATCCCAATAGACGATAACAACAGCATAGCTGCATACACAAATGACTTTTTCAAAATTAAAAAGTACTTTATTTATTTATTTGGTTTATTTGTGGCCTATCTCATTTTGAAGTGACTTTGGGTGGTTTATAGCATTAATAAAAGCATTAAAACTATAAAAGATAAATATTTCTAAAATGCTAAAAACAGAATTATGATTCAAAATAAAATTATATTAAAAGATGGGGGAAGAGGGAGCAGGGGTACGAGATGGGATTGCCTCTTAATTTATCAACCGCCTCTAGTATGATACTCCCCTGTTGGGGCCCCAAGCCATCTGGTCTTCAAGCCCTTTCAGAAGATCAGAAGGTAGGAGCTGATCTCATCTCAGGGGATAAGATGTTCCAAAGGGCAGGAACCACGGAATAGAAGGCCTTCTCTTGGACTCTGCCAGCCAAAACTCCTTGACTGACAGGGCCCGCAGAATGCCTTCTCTGCTGGTACTGGGGGGGGGCAGTCCCATTGGGTGAGATGCAGGGCTATAATTGGAATTAAAATATATTTTGCATGATACATTTCATTTTAAAAAGTAGTCCCTCCAAGGTCTAACAGTCTTAAATTTCGCAGAAATAAGTAGCAGTAAACTTGTAATGTTAAAAAAAAATCATTTATTTTAAAACGGAACAAATAGATTTCTTAACCTTTTTTGACTTTGGAGTTTTCAGGAAGTTAGGATTTAGATATGCAAAAACATATTTTTTGCATATTTAGATATGCAAAAACATATTATAGTAAACTATTTAAATAATTGTGGGAGTTCCCATTGTGTCGTTGTTAATGGTAAATAGCACAATGTCATGAATCTAGTTTCTCAAAAAGGTAAAAAAAAAATTTTTTAAATCCTAAAAGCATTCAGCTCTTTCATCAGTTGAGATTTCTAAGTTTTTTTTCCTGCAATGATTATAAGAAAATTCTTCCTTTGCCAACATATCAAAATAAGTATAACTTCCATGACAGTATCATAAATTATTGTATTATTATGTACACAATAATATGAAGTCATAGCTGCCAGTTCTTTAGCTATTGTTAGCTGTCACATGCATCAAGTTCTTCCCAAGAACCTAAGATGTCATAATGTATCAGCAGAGTATATATTTGGATCCAAGCAGTGTGACTTTTTATAATTGATAGATGGAAATTTTGTCAATGCATAGGTTTATGCCATAATCTTTCAACTTTTTAAATCTTGATACTTTGTGATCTTCTCCAATTCTCTGCCTTTTATTCTGCTATCTTATTTATTCTGATATAAGAAAGAAATTTAAAAAGGGTTGAGTTGGCAGAGGATCCTTATTGTGGGGAAAATAGAAGGAGGGAAATATTAAGTATGTTCACTGCTGACTTATAAAAAATAATAAGAATAAAGGTGGGATATAAATGAAGAAATAAATAACCACATGGAAACAAAATAAAACAACCTATCTTTCTTTTAAGCAGAGACACCCTTGGAAATGAATGAAATCAAGATTAAGCTAAACTATTAGTACTGTTACTTGAAAATTCTTGCTTCGTTCACACATTGCATTAAGCCACTATTTATTTTAAACATTATTTGTTAAACAACTCTTTGCGGTTTAGCCTCAATGGCTGCTAAACAAACACAAAGAACTATGGCTTACTGCAAAGTATAAAAATGGCTAATGACTATGATGCCAGTCCATTAAGACATGGCCTATTTTGAGTTATCAGAAACAAATTCCTTATACAGCTTTTATAAGCCACATTTTAAAAAAAATTAGTTTTGGAAGGTGGCATGCAGTTTTTAATACTTTCTTAATGAATAACTACAGCCGTAGTTTGGATTATAATTTCTGTTTTACACTAAGGACACATAACTGGAATGTACCCTGTTTCTGTAGTGTATTTTAACAATTATTATGATTGTGCAGGAAACCCTGATTGTGATTATTTTATATATTTAAAATGTGCTTTCTTAGTGCTTCTTTATTTTAGCTATTTTGAATATCATGGAAAGGCAGGAGATAAATTAATTAATCCATTTCCCTTCAAACCATATAGTTTGCCTTTCTGAATTAATTAATAAAACAATTAGTAATTCAATAACAGCCAATCTTTATTTTGGCATAGACCAGCATATCAAATTGTAATTAATAATACCACTAATAATGATGTTAAGAATTAAACTAATCTGTTTTTAGTGGCAGAATTATTTTTAGAGCTTTAGCTCAAAAATTAGCTCAAAGATTTTTTTTTTCTTGTTGCTATCCAACCTCTAAGCAGATTAAATCAGTTTCCTTCTGGAAACTAATGCTTCTATGTAAATGTCTTTAATGTTATTAAAATATGTTCACATTTTAAGTATCTAATTGTAGAACTTTTATTTAATACAACTTCATTAGTGTAGGAGGCCTAGGATTCCCTTATCCAGTCCCTGGATAAAAATAGGTCTCTTCTATTGGAATTGACACACTTTATACATATGAGCATGCAAAAAGCTGGCTTGACCTGATATTGACCTTAGACTAAAGAAGACAGCTATATTCTAAGTAGATCAAAAACAGGCAGACAAAGAATGCCTTGGCTAGAGCAACTTGTAATCACAATGATTTATTAGACTATGACTTTCAATACACGGATTAGTCTAGCAAAATGTACTGTTACTGTGGCCTCTTTAGATTTTTTTTTCAGTATAAGATACCTTTAAGGGTCTTTTATAGCATCTTATTTTGCTTTGTTTTGTTTTAAAGATTCATTTGGGTCTGTAGAATGCCAAGTTGCTTTACTTAACATTCCAAGGGGCTTATTCTGCAAACACTTAAAACACTAATCTCCTTGTTGACAGAAATAATCCTGTTTTAAGTCAACTGGTCCTTGAATAAATTTACTTTTGTTTAAGCATTTGCTTCATAAGCTCCCCCAAGCAGTGCATCTTTTGTTTAATGATCAGATCTTCCTTTCTCCTTTCTTAAAAATTTTGTTAGGACTTGTTTTATTATAAAGCTAACCATAAATAGGCTTCATGTGAATTCCTATTGTTGAATTGTGTCCCTTTTTGTTTTTATTCACTAGGTCCTTTGAGGTCTATAATGAAAGATCTGCATTCTGATGATAATGAAGATGAATCTGATGAAGCAGATGAGAATGACAATGACTCTGAGATGGAGAGACCTATAAATACTCATGGTGGAAGTAGAGTGCGCAGGTTAGGAATTAGAAAAATAAATTCCAGATAATTTGACAGCCTAAAGCAAGCCAAAGATAGTAAAGAGATTTTTTTTAGATTTTGAGATAAGGCAGAAATATTTAATAGATTCATTAAAACACTGCATGCTAAAAAAGAAAAGAATATGCATAGATTTAAGAAAATTTTAAACATTTTAAGAAAGAATCTGGGAGGTTGTTTTAAAAGCTCAGCATGCCAAGAAAGATGAGTAAAATCTCCTGCTCTCTCTCTCTCTCTGATGTGTGTATTGTGCTTTTCATTCGTTAGTCCATGTACAGTGAATTTTAAGAAGTCAGCTTTAACAACGGCTAATTGGAAGTTTTTATCTTAGGAAAGGACGTTAAATTATCAGTTATAAGATGGGAACATCTGGCTTTGTAAAAGTACTTGTGGAAAACTTTGAAGCCGTATTTGATTGCCAACTTAAACACTGAGTATAATATGACTGCAAAAGGGGGGGGGGCAAACACAGTTTTGAACTGCATTAAATGAAATGTAATTTCCACTTCATGAGATGTAATAGTTCCGTTCCATTCTCCACTTCACTGCTATATTCAGTTCTCCGTTCCACAATTTCAGTACAATTCAGAGAAATTGGGACGGATGTAAAAAAAAGCACAATGAGGATCAACAGGGGGGCTGCAAATTAAGTCCTATATGGAGAGACTAAAGAAAGTTTTAGCTTTAAGGAAAAAAAGAACTAAAGAGCAGCATAGTCATGTTAAAATATGTGATGTCATATAAGAAGGCCATGACCGATTTTTTGTCATCCCAGAGGTTAGGATATGTAACAATGGTCTTGAGTTATGGAAAATAGACTTATTTGAAGGAGTGCGTAGATCAGACATGTCAAACTCGCAATGTCACGTGACGTCGCACGACATATCGGAGCCTTTTCCCCATTGCCAGCAATGGGGTGGGCACGGTTTCATCGTGACGCGTCCGACCCATGGGCTGGCAATTTGACACCCCTGGCGTAGATGGTGACTTCCTAACAGATAAAATGGTTTGACTGTGAAAGAAATTATCTTTGTGGGATCCCCTTGACTTGGCACACATTTTTCAAGGATGTTTTAATTTTGATTCCTGCCAAAGCAGGGGATTGAACTTCAAGACATAAGTGGCCAGAAATCTATGAAATTAATATTTTTTGCCCTAGTGTGCTTCACATAGTTACGTCAAACTGCACTTGCTATTTTCATATTTCCCTGATTTGAAAATATTCTTTTTGAGTTCTCTCCAATACAGTTCCTCCACCACTATCTCTCCATGATAAAAACAATATTTGTTTGTTTCTTAAATCAGGAGTCCCCAACCCCCCGAGCTGCAGCCTGATACCAGGCTATGGCCTGTTAGAACCAGGCTGCACAAGTGGTGGGCAAGTGTGCGCAGCTCTACTTGTGAAAGTGGCAGGTGCTCATGCTCACACACGAAGCTCCATTTGCACAAGCAGTGGGCAAGTGCCTGCCACTTGCGCAAATGGAGCTGCACTCGCATGCTCGTCTGCTGCATTCACAGAACCATCCCCTCCCCCCACCACCACTGCCGCCGGTCCACAAAGCCGGAAAGGTTGGGGACCGCAGTCTTAAATAGTTAACAGTTCATACTATTGTATTTTTCCTTAGCTTCAGAATAAGGTCCTGTTTCCCCAAACCCATCATTCATTCTTTTTAGAATGCTATGGTGAATGTACTATTTCCACCACTCTTATCTTCTGCAAAATACCTCCTGTCAAGTGCAGGAAATCAGGAATCCAGGCAGTTCAAATGAATATAAAAGTTTATTGCAAGCTTCTGTTCTACAAGAATCTGAACTACTAATGGTCAAAGCAAATCGGCGATAGATAAGAGTCAGTGGAGATCAAGGTGGGCTGGACTTAGATCTCTTGCGGGCATGAAGGGACTCGAGACTGATGAGGCATTTGACTCCTACCTTGGACTCAGCCTGGTCATCTCCTGCACCCTCATCTTTTTGCAGAACTATCTTCTGATCAAACTGCAATGAAACTTGATTTTGTTGGATGCAAGGGACAAATGTCTGTCTGACATTCCTCTCAAATAATGGACATATCCATAGCATCCAAAACAGTCCAAACAAGACACCTCCCCAAAAAATCCTCCACCCAGAAATTGAATTTATTTTATTTTCAGCAATTTATATAACACATTTATATAGCAAATGAGACAAATTAAGGGATTTGTGTAAATTTCTTTCATTTTATGGAAATGACAAATTGTATCGTTTGATGTTGTTGTTGTATAAATGAAAAAATGCTGATGTAGGTGCTTTAATGGACATTTGGAGAGAACAAATTCCTCAGTCTTGAATCAGAGTTTCAATGTGTATATTATGCACATTTGGTATAATTTATTTAATTCAAATTGCCATAGTAGAATATATAATATATCTAACATTAAACTTAATTTCTTTGATTCTTATGTCTGGTATCTTAATACAGAGGGTCCCCAACCCTTGGGCGATGGCCTATTTGGAACAAAGCTGTGTGAGTGGCAGGCTGGAATGCTCACGTATGCAAGCAGCTCAACTTGCATGAGCAGCGGGCCAGCGTATGTGCACAGCGTATGTGCAGGTCAACTTGCACAAGTTGAGCTATGTGCATGCACACCAGCCCGCCACTCGTGCAGCATGGTTCCCCTCACCCCCCAACCAGGCTGCCAAACTGCAAAGATTGGATCCTCTGTCTTAATATGCTGTCAGTAATGTCAAACTCTAACCATGACAGATAAGATGTGGTAGTCTTAAAAATATAATTTAGAGTTTTCATAATTTGTAGTAAATTAGGAACCCTTGAATTTTTCATTTGTGTATTGACCAAAATCTACCTGCTGCTTACCTTTTCATTCCTCTACTGTTTTTGTTTTTTGTTTTGCTCAGGGTTAGTTTAAGTGACGGAAGTGACAGTGATAGCAGTTCTGCTTCTTCACCTCTACACCATGATCCTCCACCTTTATTAAAAACCAACAATAACCAGGTATCGTGTTTTGGCACAAGCACAGCAGTCTCTGTTGTTTAATTTTTCCAGTAAACATTTTTATTTTCCCAACTTTGTGAGCCTTCTTTAGTTTTATAAATGCTTAGTGTTAATTAGTCCTGAATCTTTCCAGTTTGTGCAGATCTTACTGAATTTGCTTTGTGCTGTTATAACCCAAAATATTTTCTGAAAAAGATTCTTCCAAAGATATGTGTAATGATACATTTACTTTTTAGTTTGAGATGGATAACATTTATCTCCCCTATAAGTGAGTGGCACCCGATTTTATGATCATTTTTGCCACAATTGTTAAGCAAATCACTGCAGCTATTAAGTAAATCGTGTATTCATTAAACAAATCTGGCTTCCCCTATTGACTTTGCTTGTCAGAAGCCAGCTGGAAAGATCACAAATGGTGTTCACATGATCCTGGGACACTGTTAACTATCATAAATACATATTGATTGCCATGCATCCAAATTTTGATCAGTGACTATGGGGATGCTATGATGGTTGTAAGTGCAAGTATCAGTTCTAAGGGTCACCTGTACTTCACAGTATAAAATGATCTGTGATTCAGTCATTACAAATCAGTCATATTTTTAATTTCATTGGAAATTAGCTCAAATTATTACTTTTTAACATAACCAAAAGTCAGGAAATGACACTTTTTCAAGTAATGTCATATGCATACATGTAGGCAGCAACAATCTGTTGTTATTTTCTGTTACTTAGATTTGTTATTGTCTGGCTACTTCAAAAGTCACTGCATTCTTGATACTTATTAAGCACTACATTAAAGTTATTGATTTAACCTGATTATGCAAATGAATACTTGTAGATCAATGCTCAAGTAGATTCAATGCTCATTGAAACTGTTCTGGAAATGGTAGGTCCCTGCTCGTAGAAGAACTATATATAAAACAAAGACTTCAACATATGGATATAATTCTAGTATTGTAGAAGTTTAGAAACAAAATTCAAGTACCATGACCTATTTTAAAGCTAATATGGCACATTTATNAATGTCCTTAAATATTTACTCTTCATTTTGTAGATTCTGGAAGTAAAGAGTCCTATAAAACAAAGTAAATCTGAAAAACAGATAAAGAATGGTGATTGTGATAAGGTAAATAGAAAAAAAATCTTTAAATCGTGCTTCTATACTTTAGAATCTAAATTTATCCAAAAAAGTTAATTGAAATCAACACCTACATAAAAGTGTAAATTTGTACATATATCTATATGTAAATGGCATGTGACTTAGTTAAATATTTCTTAATTATTCCTTTAGCATTTTGTATTACATGTACTGTACATTGTTTATTATGTTGGTGAGATCGTATCACATTGAAAATATTTGTGAGCAAAACTATGAAGTTTCATAAACTGACAAACTTTATCTTGTTTGCTTTAATCTGTAATTATTTATTTTTAGGCATATCTTGATGAATTAGTTGAACTTCACAGAAGGTTAATGACTCTAAGAGAAAGACATATACTGCAACAGGTGAGGACTTCTGTATCTTTTAAACAGTTTTCCAAAACTAAAATTGTATTAAAAGAACAAAATCTAAATTTGATTTTTCAACAGAAAGCAAATCCATCAATCAAAATATTAGCGCCTCACCATTTTTTATAACCTATTCAGTCCTACAAAAAGCATACTTCACACTGAAATGAATTTCCTGAATGTTCAAATTATAACCGAACATTCAGAAGATGTTAAATTAATTCACATAATTCAGACTTCAATTTAGTTCTGCAATACTGAAATTTGAATTAGTTATTTTCACTTATTTATGGACTTTGTGTATTACTACTTTGGTGTGGCTCAACAGGAAAACAATTCTTTTTTCACAGAAATTTAGTGCTTCACTATGAAAATTTAAAAATACAGAATTTTCTGCACTTAACACTGCTTACAGTATTGACTTCAATAATAATAATAATAATAATAATAATAATAATAATAATAATAATAATAATAACAATAACAACAATAATAAACATTCCCCAGTATAATATGTTTTGATTCTCTCTGCCTTTGTCCTACATACACACACCCAAATATAAATGACATATCTATAAAAGCAATTATTTATCTCTTTGTTCATTGCAAAATCTTGCTTCTTTTTTGTTGGTGAGTATTACAATTTAGGTTCATGTCCATCTTCAATCATGGAACTGCAGTAACTGCCTGGCTTCAGGCCAGTTGCTCTTTCTAAACCCAATCTACTACTTGAGGACCTTCATATAAGGTAGTGAGCTGAGGATATACACTCAATGACATATATACCTTTTCCTTCATACTATTTATTTATTTAAAACTCCAAGTCAGGCATGTCAAATTGCAGACCAGATGTGTCACGCCGAAATCGCACCCACCCTATTGCCAGCAATGGGGAAAAAGTCCCGATGCGTCGCGCAACGTCACATGACGTCACGAGTTTGACATGCCTGCTCTAAGGCTTCAAGTTCTTGATTTATCATGTGGTGAAGCTACATGCAATCTCACTTGATGATTCTCTGCAGGCTGACTTTCTCTGAAAGCAGTGCTCAGCTGGATCAATTAATATGAGTGTGTAGGCTTCAGATTTGAGAAATGGAGTCTGATTAGTCATAATGCTTCAAAGCCCATGACCAACTCACCCTGAGTGTTGTGGTAATGATAGGCTTAATATCATGACAACATATTAACTTTAGCTGACCCGTAAATCAGAAAATGATGCACTTCTATTTCAGATTTTAACTCACTTGGTAACTTATCATTTAAATGGCAGATTATCATGACTTACATCAATAGATCTTATAATCAATGCTAACCCTTCCCAATGTTTATTGATTAAATTTATGTTCTGCTCATCTCACTATTGAAGCTACTCTAGGTGCCAATATGAAGAGAGAGAAAATGTATGTTGTTTATTTATTTATTCACTTATATCCTGACTTTACTTTTTTTAATAAATAACTCAAGGAGGTAAACATTTATTTTTATTTTTATTATTTATAAATAATTTATTGATTTGTATCCTGTCTTTGGGGAGCACGATGGCTCAGTGATTAAAGATGCTGGGCTTGTTGGCTGGAAAGTTGACAGTCCAGGTTTGAGACCTAAGCACCATGTGACGTGATAAGCTCCTGTTACCTGCCCCCAGCACCTGCCCAACTAGCAATCCAAAAGTATGCAAATGGGAGTAGATAAATAGGTACCACTTTGGTACTCCTCGGCATGTTTCATGCTGGCCACATGACCATGGAAAATGTCTTTGGACAATACGGGCTCTCTCAGCTAAGAAACGGAGATGAGCCCTTCCCTAGAGAGTCAGACACGCCTGGACAGAGGAAACCTTTACTTTTATTTTTATCCTATCTTTATTATGTTTACAAATAACTGAAGATAGTGAACATATACAACCACCTTCCTCCTTCTGTTTTTCCTCACAACAATCCTGTGAGGTGGATTGGTCTGAGAAAGAGTGACAGGCCCAAGGTCACCCAGTTGGCTTTGACGGTTAATGCGGGACTAGAACTCATGGTCTCCTGGTTTCTAGCCTAGTGCCTTAACCACTAGACCAAACTGGCTTTACATTTAGATTTACCAGATACTTTTTTCCTATTCTTAAACACTTAAAGAAAATCATTTTTAGCTAAAATGCTAAAACCAGTCCTTCTATATACATTCTCTTATAGAAGCATTTACATTGCTGCTGCCAGATTGATTGCAGTGATTAAATAACAAAGTGTAGTTTATTTCATCAAAAACAAATAAAACTCTCTTGAGACTTTGCATCCTAAATCTTCAGCTGAATTATTTTTAATGTGATTTTAAAACTGATAATCTGAAATCTTGCCAGCTATTATTTTATTTCCCCCCAAAATATTTCTTAATAGATTAAGAATACAAGTGCCAATATAAAAATCTGGTTTCCTTTGGCAGGTGGTCAGGAAAAGCCCTCAGGTTTACTGGCTATATTCTTGAGCTATACCTCTATTAAATGTGAATATTCATCCCACTCAGTTGTGATATTGGGACTATATTTCCAAGAGGCCCTTATGAAAAGCGGGATTCCCAATGTTCATGCTGTTTTTATTTAGGAGCTTAAAAAGGATAGATAGTAATCAAACCAAATCGAGGATTCATTTCTCATCCCTCTAAAGAGTACTGCATTGCTTAAAAATGCATCTGTTAACACTTCCTAACAGCTTTTGAATTCCTTAAATTTATTATCAAGGGAGTTAATGGAAAGCCTTGTTTTGGCAGAGTATCACAGGAAGGCATATCAAATGTAGATCATTCTTTAAAAAAAAATACTTCTGAAAGTTTTTTCTAGAAATCTTCCTGGGCTGGTTTATTAGCTGGGGTTAAATGAAGCATATTTTAGAATTACATTCCTAACTCATTACTTCGACACAAGCTGTGGAGTGTTGGAGCCAAAGTTACTATATAAAACAGTATGGCAGAAATAAATGAATGTCTACTTTAAACATGGTGCTTCTCAGCAGGTTGACATTTAATTTTTAGCAATGCTGTATGTTTCACATTGTGGACTGGTTAAACATTTCATTAGCTCTTGCTGATTTGGAACTACATGGGTGGAAATATATAGACTTAATACTTGGATTGCTAACAAAGAATTAAGGGAGAACTGGAATAGCCATTTCGAACTTTTTAGTTCTTTTCAACCAGACATACCCTTCTGAGATTCGAACCTGGGCTGTCTGCATGTTAGGCAGATGTATTAACCTCTAGACCACAGGCTCTTTCTTACTTTGTCAGCTATGAGACAGGGGAGAAGAATTATCTTGAGTTTGGTGCACCCTGTCGGCCCAAATATGGGAGAAAGGAATCTTTTTGCCTGTATCAGCTCAAACTAGAGCCATCCACAGGCTTAGCAGTCGCGACTGCGACATCATGTGTGTTTTTCAAAATTTGGATTGCTAACAAAGAATTAAGGGAGAACTGGAATAGCCATTTCGAACTTTTTAGTTCTTTTCAACCAGACATACCCTTCTGAGAATTGCTTGCTTCTTGCTCATTTAATAATATAACTCTTAATATTTCTATGTCTTTCAGTTCAAAATGTTCTAAGGTTTTGCTGTTCCTTAAGTACCAAAAGCATATATAGGTAGTCCTCGACTTACGACCGCAATTCAGCCCAAAATTTATATTGCTAAGTGAGACAGTTAAGTGAATTTTGCCCCATTTTACAACTTTTCTTGCCACAGTTGCTAAGTGAATCCGGCTTCCCGTTAATTTTACTTGTCAGAAGGTCACAAAAGGTGATCACATGACTCCGGAACACTGCAACCGTCATAAATATGAGTCAGTTGCCAAGCGTCTGAATTTTGATCGTATGACCATGGGGATGTTGCAACGGTTGTGTGAAAAATGTATCATAAGTCACTTTTTCAGTGCCGTTGTAATTTCAAGCTGTCACTAAATGAATTGTTGTAAGTCGAGGACTACCTATATTTTTATTTTATTTATAGTATGGCTGCCTGCTTGGAAATAATGATTGGAGAAACATCCAGTAAATAGCATTTGCGCATTTCATATCATAGTTTCCCACTGCCTTATACGTTGATATATGGTGTTTGCAAATTAAACTGTATTAGATTATTAGGAATAGTTCTAATTCATAGGCAGAGTATGTGCTTTGCATGTACAAGATGCAAAATCTAATTTGTTTTTATCTCAGTTGAAAGTTTTTGAATAGAAGAGGAAGAAAAGACCTCTAGATCAGGGGTGTCAAACTGCCGGCCCGCGGGCTGGACACATCATCCGGAAGCCGCGCCCACCCCATTGCCGGCAATGGCAAAACCGTCCCGATACGTTGCGCGACATCACATGACGTCATGAGTTTTACATGTCTGCTCTAGATGAAACTTAAGAATGCTAAACCCACTTGATATAATATAATTGTCATCTCCAATACACTTGAACGTCACTATTCAGAAAAGGTTCGAGTAGATCATAGTAAACTATATTATGTGTGAGACATTTTCATGTCAACAAGTAGCCGAATCAAGCAAAATCATAATTGAGAATTGCCAATTAAGAGCTGCTAATCAGTTTGCTACTTCATTTCTCCAATTTGTAGGATACTTGCCTGGAAAGATCGGTAGCACTCTACAAACATTCTGCCTGGTTTAAGAGAAATAAACNTTCTCACCTACATCGTCCACAAGGGACGACTCGGGAACTCAACTCCTACCCCAGGTAGCTCACCTATCCCCCTCTGCCCAGGGGAAAGGTATCAAGCCGTTTGACAGCTGATGCTAGCTGTCAAAACGGCTTTTACGCAGAAACAGGCGGGAGGCAGCTACAGCTGCATCCGACGAGGTCGCCTGCCACCGGAAGTCCCAAATTCCTCAGTCTTGAATCAGAGTTTCAGTGTGTATATTATGCACATTTGGTATAATTTATTTAATTCAAATTGCCATATCAGAATATATAATATATCTAACATATTAAACTTAATTTCTTTGATTCTTATGTCTGGTATC